TATTAAAAAATAAATAAATAAAATCAAACATTTCCTGATAAGAAATTATAAAGAAGTTTATTTTAAAACGATTCTTTGGTGCATGTGTAATTTTACCATTTATTAAAGATCAAATCATATTTCCAAAAAACAAAAATCTGTTTCTTAAAGAAAACTAAGACATTGAGAGGTAACTTCTATTTACTTTTATCAGTTATGGTACAACATTCTAGAATGGTGTTTATCAATTTATTTGTGCTAAACTCCACTTTCCCTCGGTCACGGACAAACTGTTAGAATAAGATAAAAAGTGAATTACTCAAAAAATAAAATTTAAAAATATAAAAACATAAAAAAAGTATAGATAAATTATATTGCTTCAGTCTTCCACATTGTTTAAAATGATGCAAGTATTCAGGTAACATGGAACCAAAGATAAACACATAAATTGAACTGGCCTGGGAATGTGCTACAAGTTGTACCTAAGACAAGTAGCTTTATCTTTGTGTATCTAGAATCCAAAGCTAATTATTTTAATCCTAATTTTACAGATTACTAAAAGAAAGTTGTAGGCCTATCTGACAGACTATGACAACACACAAAAATGACACCACCTCCACTGGGGTCTCAGTCTTCCTCCTGAATTGTTTTGTCAAGTCTCCCAGCTAGCAACTCTGGCTGTCTATACCTCTCAGCCTCCTCTTCCTCTTGGCCATGGGGGCCAATGCTATTCTACTGATCACCATCCGGATGGAGACGTCACTACATGAGCCCCTACTCAGCTTCCTCTCCACACTAGACATTGTGCTCTGCCTCACTGTCATCCCCAAGGTACTGGCTGTCTTCTGGTTCGATCTCAGGCCCATCAGTTTCTCTGCATGCTTCCTCCAGATGTACATCATGAACAGCTTTCTTCCCATGGAATCTTGCACAGTCATGGTCTGGCCTTTGATCGCTACATTGCCATCTGCCACCCACTGAGATATCCATCCATCATCACTGACCAATTTGTAGCCAAGGCTGCCATGTTCATCTTGGTCAGGAACATCCTTATACCTTTGCCCATCCCCATTCTCTCAGCATGACTCCACTACTGTGGGAGAAATGTCATTGAGAACTGTATCTGTGCCAATATGTCTGTCTCCAGGCTCTCTTGTGATGATGTCACTCTTAATCGTCTTTATCAGTTTGGTATAGGCTGGACTCTGCTAGGATCTGATCTCATTCCTGATCTCATTCTCATCTTCCTCTCCTACACCCTCATCCTGAGTGCTGTGCTGAGGCTTCAAGGAACAGGGTGCTGGGGCCAAAGCTCTAAGCACATGTGGTTCCCACTTCATCCTTATCCTCTTCTTTAGCACAATCCTCCTAGTCTTTATCCTCACACACGTGGCTAAGAGGAAGGTCTCTGCTGATGTGCCAGTCTTGCTCAACGTCCTTCACCATGTCATCCCTGCAGCCCTTAATCTCATTGTTTACGGGGTAAGAACCCAGGAAATCAAGCAAGGAATCAAGAGGTTACTTAAGAAAAGGTGGTAACAAGGCCAACTACACCTCTGCTTCCCTAACATAGAATGACCTATTAACCTAATTGGCTGAAGTGCATAACTTAGAAATAAAATTTCAAGGAAGAAAGTAAATACGAATTCTAAAATAAGTTCCTGATTCTACCCTCCTTTGCAAATCACACCACATTCACACACATGCCCCCAAATCCCTTATCTCTGCGACTTTTTAATTTTTCTAATATTTATAATTCTATTTTGTCTGAAATGGGAGAATCCAAGAGGATGAATTCTATAGATAAACAACTCCCAGATACTTTCAGATTTATAACCTCTGCACGTTTATTTCTATTATAACTATAAACAATAGTGGCCTTGATTGAAGCTTATTATTATAAATATTGCTATCAACTCAACTGTACAATATAGTTATGCAAAGAGCACAGTATTTCAAGATCAGCTCTGAAGGATGAAAAGTGGGAAGAGTCCAAAAACAAGTCTCCTTTGTGTATGTCCACCCAGGCCAACACTTTTCTCCCATCTTCTTCTTCAACTTCTTCAAGCAAAGCCTTTTTGCTGTTGTCAGCCAAAGCCCTAAGAAGATAGCTCTCTTGCAAGAACATCTGACACACACAGCAATGAGTGCCACTGGGTTGAGGAGGAGCTATCATATAGAGTCTCATCCTCCATGTTTTCACACCAGTGCAGTGCTTATAGCTTCATTTCCAGAGTTCACAAAGATTCGGTTTGTGATCTGTGTACAAGGTTCTTTTGTGTATATCACAGTATCAGAAGACACCCAGGAACGGTACACAAGTATACACAGTTCATTACTAGCTCAGCAAAAGTTTTCTAAGCAATTTTTGATACAACTTTTTTAAGAAATTAGAAGTACAAAGATGTACAGAAATTTGTAATTATTGAGAAACTCATATGGTATTTAGGCAAAATATAAACCAATCTGGATCCAAAGAGTGTTAACCCGAGATCCAAGGAATGCTGAAGAACTGTTAACCTGGATCCAAAGAATGTTGTAGAATTACATTTTTCTACATAGAAACAAGTGGAAATAATGAGGTACACATTCAAGAAGTAACCTGAAAAAGAAAAACTCTAAGACTGTTGAGCTTCAAGTGCTACATTCTAAGTTCTGTACAACAATAAATGAGATGTGCAAATGGGAACAGATTGGAGCCTTACTCAGCTTCAATATCTTCATCTGCTGCGTGGGGGCACTAAATTAACTGTTCCAAAATACATTTCAGTCCTGAGAGTCCACAGAATTGTTGACTCTCTTGAAACAGGCATCATGCACACTATGGAGCCTCCTCTGTTCTCCCCTTTAAGTATAGTCATAAACACTTCCCGCATTTCCTCAATGACAACTGAAAACAAAGAAGAAATGTGAACATTTCCAAACATAGATCAAAATTCTAGTGTGCCTAAATAGTGCTTATATGCACACATCATTTATGGCTTCACTTGCATCCAACTATTCAAAGCAAGCTTTTGTTCCTTCTTCGTTGAAATGCAGAGTAGATATTTGCTTCTGGGCCTAACAGCTATAGTGTTCAATAGACAAAGTATTTTCTTCTGAGATGCTGAGGCTTCATCTTGGGTTTAGATTTTCATGCTGCAAGATTACTGGTAGGCAGAATGTCAATTTCATTCAAGGAAAATACAATTAAACCAAAAATTCTATAGTCCTGTCTTCTGACTCCAAAATGAAAATGCATGTAAGTCCACAACCAGAATTCGTAAAGTCTGGGTCACTTCTCCTGATATAAAATATTTCATGAATTGATGATCTTTATACAGTATAGCTTTCCATATTTGGTCAATTTTTCACACTCCATATAATTTTAAAAAATCAATATAGAGGTTTCTCCTGTGGTCACTGGTATCATTACTGCTGTACTCCTAATTAGCACATGCTTGGAAATGAAAGTACATTTAATGTCTCTCTAAGTATAAACAATAATCACAGCTAAAATTAGGTCAAATGCTGTTCACATACTATTTCTTTTATTACCTAGACCGCTGTAGCTAACAAAAATCTAACTGTTGAAAGTATAAGATCTTAATTCGACATACTCATAACTAGATACCAATGGAGAGTCTGGAAATAAAAGCAACATCACCTCACCTCACAGCAAAGCTACATTTCAGATTCCATCACCCCAGTCAGAACCACCATAATCAAGAAATCAACAAATGCTGGTGTGAATGTGGGAAAGGGAAACCTTTACATATTGTTCATAGCAGTACAAACTAGTGTAGCCACTTTGGAAATCAACATGGAGTTTCCTCAAAAAAACTAGAAATAAAACTGGAATACTACCTAGCTATACCCAAAGGAATCTATATCCTACTACAGAGATACTTACATGTCTTTGCTCATTACAGCTCTATTCACAATAGCTAGGAAAAGGAATCAGCCTAGATATCCATCAACGAAGGAATAGATAATAAAAATGTGGTACATATATATGATGGAATTTTACTCAGATAAAAATGAAATTATGAAATTTCCAACAAAATATATGGAACTGGAATAAAATATATGTATAAAGTACATGTATACTGAGTGAGATAACACAGACTCAGAAAGACGAACACTTGCCTCATATTCTCTCTCATATGTAGATACTTGCTTCAATATTTTAGTTTTGTGTGTTCAATTTGGAATGACTCTAAAAGACAAGAATCGAAAGAGGACATTGGGGTGACCAAGAACAGAACAGAAGGACATAGATAAAATGAGAGTATAGAGGGGAATGCTGGGGGCAGAGAGGTTTAAGCAAGGAGGAGACAGGTGGATGGGGAAGAGTAGGAGGTGGAGAGTAAAATTAACCAAGGAGAGGGCAGGTAAGAAAGCCACAGGGAATCCTACTGGTATGTAGCCCAAGTAAAAAGTATATAAAAGAGACTTGGAAGTAAGATACTATGCACAACTAGATGAAGCTGGTCCTGAAAGCAGTGGGTTACCAGACAAATATTCCAACGCTCCCCCATGTGAATTGCTGATCAGAAAGTCAGGAAGCCCCCCAAACTATACAAACTCTTGCCAGTCCTCTTGGTTAGTCAACAGAACTAGCTGGCACTCTCCATCGCTGAAGATATCACACACCTTTGTTGTAAGATATCAAGCTGGAGCTGCATTGGAAACTTATTCCCTACCATCTAGCTTTCAAAGTATAAGAAGGTGGGATGCTCTTGGGTGAGAAAGAAAGCATCAGTGGTCTGACAGAGCTGTTAACCCTATGAACTGCAGTGCCAACTTACCAGGCAAGATGCACCTACTTATGCAATAGTAGACACTTGCTGTGAAGTAACCATAAAATTTTATTATTAGATTTGAAACCTACTGTACAGGTGTAGGAAACCTGTCAGGTACTGTAAACCCAGCACAAAACCCATGCTTGGAAAGATCATGGGCAGTAGGGGCCAATTTACTACTATTGCCTAGACAAATTGACATAGCATCATAGCATCAAACTTCCTTCTTAAATATCTATGTTTATATTCATAGACAAAGGCTTCTCTCGGCCTTAGTCAGAGAAGTCTTTCTTTGCAGAGAGTGGTTGAATTCAGAGACTTATAGTGGCCTAAGAATCAAGAATAAGTGACAGTTGAAAGATCAGTCCTAAATAAGACATGCACACCATCTCTTCTAGGGCTTACGGAATGTTGTGGAGGAGGGTATGGAAAAAATTTAGGAGCAGGAAGATGGAGGGTAGGACTGCAAAGTGCCATCTTTGGGGCATGACATAGCTATTGTAACCATGAACTCACAGTAGCTGTGGTTACTGACACCATGGCAACAGCCATGGTCAGAGGAAAAGCTCATGGGGCCCCACCCCTTACTCCTGAACTATTAGCTACTGACAGAGTCTGAGACAAGGGGAGTCATTGCCTTCCGTTGAATACCCACCAGGCTCTAGTGTTGGGCTTGAAACTATCCAAACAGCTCTTGTTAAACTCAGTGGATCACAAAACAAAGCAAAAAGACAGTAGTGTGGGAAGGCCATTTGTAGGGAAGGAGAGAAACTGACAGAAGTGGAGGACAGATAAAAAATTTGGTGGGGAGTAAGCAGATTGCATTATGTACATGTATGAAGTTTTCAAAGATCAAATTTAACTAAGAAAATCAAATCTGCACATATGTATAGGTGCTTTTCAAAAAGAAATTTTAATTATAAAAATCAGATTTTTTTCAAACACCCGGGAGAAATAGATGCAATTTAAATGGCTCACCACCATTGCAAATCAATCGGAAATTTGACACTGTTTTATATTATTAAAATCCTGTATGTCTATATAGAAGCATTTTAATATGGGAGAGAAATTGTGTGAAAATTGGAGCCAGGAGCTATATCGCACTGATAGGAAGTGATAGGAGTTGAGATTTGTTTTCTAATCACAAGAAAACGGACAGAAAAGACAAGTTAACTGAAGGGAAAATTGCTCATAAAAAGAATTGTCATGAAAAATAAGTTCTCTGGAACAGTGAATTTTCTTCTTTCTTTGTGCTTTGTCACAAATAGAAAAAGAAGTGTGGGAGTTACAGACTGTATGGTGAGTTCTTTGCGCTAAAATAGCAAAAAAGCAGCCTGTGAAATATCAGAAAGCAGGACAAAAAAGAATGAGGTAGAAGACTTTTCAAAACCACTCTATATTGCCAAACTGGTCCCAACATCTACAGCAGCAAACTGACATCCCAGGAAGGTGTTATTTATTTCCTTTATAAAATCTAATATTTTTATTAATTTTCAATAATTTCATACATGTATAAAATATATTTTGATCACAGTCATCTCTCGCTCTTCCCTCTAAGTCATCCAAGATACATCTCCTAACCCCAACACCTCTCAATTCGTTTTTTTTTATCTCTTTGAGACAAGGTCTCCCTGTAGCCTCAGCTAGCCTGGAACTCACTATGTAAACCAGGATAGCCTTGAACTCAAAGAGCTCTACCTGCCTCTGCCTCCCAAGTGCTGGGATTAAAGGCATACACCAACACTCCTGGCTTAT